CTGTTCGAATTCAAAACTTCAAAACTCAAATCTGTTGTTATTGTGTGTCCACAAGTTGGTCAAAAGACTGTGACTACAAGAGAAAGGGAAAAGGCAGGTACATGCATTCGTTATATATACGTATATATACAATGTATATATCGTCAAACAGATCGTCAAAGAGAGCTACCCGGTAAACCGTAGGCAGAGAGGGAGAAGAGGACAACAAACGAGGGGCTGTGACAACTGTTTCGTCGGAGTTTCACCGACCGACTCATCAGGAGGCTGAACCCTCAGCAGTCTGGAGAATCCCCTAACTGATTACAAACTGTAAGTGATAATCCACCTTCACCCCGGCTGTGGTTAAGCATCAACGACTGCCCGACAACTGATACCCTGAGGTGGGCACCAACAACTGCCCTCAAGGTACCTGTGACGAAAATCAAAGCAGACTATCACTCACCCACACCAGATAGAAAACTCTACAGACTGCCGGTTCACACCCCATCACAAGCCAGCAAAACACCCACGAAACAAAGAAAGGTCTGTCACAGCCAAAAAACACACTCCAGACACGCCGCTGGCGCTAGAGGCACAGCATGGCCGCGTTGTGACGGCACCGATATGTATTGTCACATAACTATGAACTAAAAGAGCGCAATTTGTGAAACAAACGGCAAAAATTAAAAATTAAAAAAACAAGACAAACATGAAGGGCACAGTGAAACCATTCATTTTCCTCGTTCTTCTTTTGACTCCCCTTCCACCGTGCCTCTCACGTACAAGGCTCGCCACATTGATGAAGTTGAGCATGAGCTGCCCCCATCCCCATGTGCCATAACAGCCCACTTGTATGCTGTGAGAAAGAGGCAGAGTGAAGGGGGATGGGATAAACACAGGGAGGAGAGGTGGAGAGCAGACAAACAAAGAACGATAAAGGGAAAGTAAGGGAAAGCATGGAGTGTGGAGTGAAGATGAAGGCAAAAGAGGATAAGAAAAGGCTCAAGAATGAGTCTGTCCTTGACGACAGAGAGGACATACATTGTAAAGATGATGTGGATGAACACATGGAAGAGCTAGCTGAGCATTCTCAGTGCAACAATTGGCACGACGGGTGGCATTGAGCATGCCGGCCATACACCCCCGACAAATGGCATGTCGATTGCAGGCCAAAATGAAAGAAGAACGGTCACCACAAAAGAGCATGCATTCAGTATAGCGCCCATGGCCGCAAAATGGACATATAGTGTCCGGATGCGGAGGGTGCCTGCTGTCAAGAACGGTGGGACAGTCCTCTGCACACATGGATGCAGAAACCATGTCATTGTAGTGATTATGACAGAGACGATGGCGGCTACAGCCGAGTGTAACAGTGTTTGTGGTTGTGCAAAGGAGAAGGTCACAGAGTGTTGGTACATTGTCTTGCTGCAGCACGGGGCCAGAGGAATGATCTTCAACATAAAAGAGATTGCGGACGGTTTGTTGTGGCAAGAAAACAGCATCATTTTGCAAGAAATCAGTGACATCAATCATGGCATGGACCATGGTGCCATTGTCCCACAGCTCCCAGTGGTCAGAGGCATCTACAATGGCCATGTAATGGCCAGGGCCGTGCACAATGCAGGCAGAGATGTGGGATGGAGGATTAAACCACTCACCTGCTATGTTTAGGGTTTAGGGTTTAGGGTTTAGGGTTTAGGTATCGTCAAATAGAACTGCCCGGTAAACCGTAGGCAGAGAGGGATATATATATATATATATATATATATATATATATATATATATATATATAATGTATATATATATACACAGCCCCTCGTTTGTTGTCCTCTTCTCTNAGAGCAGACAAACAAAGAACGATAAAGGGAAAGTAAGGGAAAGCATGGAGTGTGGAGTGAAGATGAAGGCAAAAGAGGATAAGAAAAGGCTCAAGGATGAGTTTGTCCTTGACGACAGAGAGGACATACATTGTAAGGATGACGTGGATGAACACATGGAAGACCTAGCTGAGCATTCTCAGTGCAACAATTGGCACGACGGGTGGCATTGAGCATGCCCACCATACACCCCCGACAAATGGCATGTCGATTGCAGGCCAAAATGAAAGAAGAAAGGTCACCACAAAAGAGCATGCATTCAGTATAGCGCCCATGTCCGCAAAATGGACATATAGACGGTGGGACAGTCCTCTGCACACATGGATGCAGAAACCATGTCATTGTAGTGATTGTGACAGAGACTATGGCGGCTACAGCCGAGTGTAACAGTGTTTGTAGCAGTGCAAAGGAGAAGGTCGCAGAGTGTTGGTAAATTGTCTTGCTGCAGCAAGAGGCCAGAGGAATGATCTTCGACATAAAAGAGATTGCGGACAGTTTGTTGTTGCCTGCAGTCAGGAACGGTGGGACAGTCCTCTGCACACATGGATGCAGAAACCATGTCATTGTAGTGATTCTGACAGAAACTATGGCGGCTACAGCCGAGTGTAACAGTGTTTGTAGTTATGCAAAGGAGAAGGCCGCAGAGTGTTGGTACATTGTCTTGCTGCAGCACGAGGCCAGAGGAATGATCTTCGACATAAAAGAGATTGCGGATGGTTTGTTGTGGCAAGAAAACAACACCATTTTGTAAGAAATCAGTGACGTCAATCATGGCATGGACCATGGTGCTGTTGTCCCACAGCTCCCAGTGGTCAGAGGCATGTACAATGGCCATGTAATGGCCAGGGCCGTGCACAATGCAGGCAGAGATGTGGGATGAAGGATTAAACCACTCACCTGCTCGAGCATTGCGTAGTTCAAGTTGACGGTCCCTCATTGCTACTTGTAGGACAACAATGGTAAAGCCTCCTTCGCTGGTATAATTACAATCCTCTGGCTGTCGTTGGGGAAGATCAGCATCAAGCTAAAGGGCGATTGCAAGGAAGTCTGATGGTGTATAAAACGGGCAGTGGAGAATGTGAAGACAGATATTAGTTGCTGTCAGACCACAGAGATTGGTGAGGTTCTTAGGCTGGTTTGTTGGATGCTGGCCAACAATTTGCAGATTGCCCAGATGGTGTTGCAAGCCCAAACTGTGTTGGGTTGTTTGCTGGTCAGTCATTTGCAGATCACCCATGATGTCTGCGCATGGCGGAGCACAAAATTGTGGTTCATCCGAACAATGCTGGTCAGCCATTTGCAGATTCCCCATGTGGTCTACGCCTGCAATCCTGGCAGAGCATGTTCCAATCCCTCAACGTTTAGGGCTGCATCATGAGTAGGGACTGTACCTGGAGTCGGGAATGTACTCTGGGCAGCGGCTGCATCCTGAGTAGGGACTGGTGGCTGCCTGCAAGCAGCTGGACTGTCTGCAGGAGGCATAGGAGTGGATATTGCCATTTGAAACAAAGGAACCGCAACAACCTGTAGAGGAGGCACAGAGACAATCAGGGCAGACAAAGAAACAGGTTGCTGATCCCCGGACAAGTGACGATGTGGCGGATGTCGTCGGTGATACACAACAAGAGGAGTAGTGGTGTTGCAAACAGAAGTTGAACTTGTACCTAGCAACGCAGGTGGAACAATGGGAACAATGGAAACTGGAAAGTTTGTTCGCAAGCGAGACCGTGGAGGAGATGGAGGTGGTGAGGAGGAACGCAGTCGTCTACGGCCAAGCACAGACAAAGATGAGAGGGGGGTGCATTGGGCAAGATTTCGGAGCAAAGGACGTGAGCGTCGAAGAGATTGTGATGTTCTTTGCATTGGAGCTGCAGGACAGGAAGCTATAGCAGTAAAAACTACAGTAGGGGGAATTACAGTTAGGGAAACTGCTGTACTGAAAATTGCAGCAGTGGAAACCGCAGCAGTAGAAACTGCAGCAGCGGAAACTGGAGCAGTGGAAACTGGAGCGATGGAAACTGCAGCAGTGGACACTGCAGCAATGGAAACCGCAACAGTGGACACTGCAGCAGTGGAAACTGGAGCAGTGGACACTGCAGCAGTGGAAACCGCAACAGTGGACACTGCAGCAGTGGAAACTGCAGGAGGAGACTGCAGCAGTGGAAACTGCAGTAGCAGCAGATGAGCAAGCAAGGGCAGGACGAGAGCATCGTGGGGGCGAAGAAGAAATTGGATGACACAAGGACCACCGCAGCATGCGTCGGAACCATTGAGAGAGACGTGTCACATGCGCACCTATATATATACGTATATTGTCACGAGTGCACTGGCACGGGACCGCTTGCCAGGCCAGGCCCCAAAAAAAATAAAATTTAAACTAGGCTACCAGCCGGGCCGCCCGGGTCCCGGGTGGCCAGCCCGTGCAAGGACCAGAGAAGGTCCCAGGAAAAAGAAAAAAAAATCTGAAAAAAAACTATGTTATGCAGAAAAATAAACTGAACATTTTGCCTCAGGGTCACATCAAAATTCTTTACCAAATTTAAAATAAAAAATAAAATAAAAAATATTATTTTTAATAAATTTACTTTAATTTTATTTTAATTTTTTTGGCCTGGCCGAGCAAGTGACCTCGGGCCACTCTGGTATCCTAGAATTTAAAACAAAAAAATATATATATATTTTTTTATTTTTATAATTTATTTTAAATTTGGTAAAGAATTTCGATGTGTACCTGAGGCAAAAGTTGCTCAGTTTTTTTTTCTGCATAACAAATTTTTTTTTTTTTTTTTTTTTTTTTTTTTTTTTTTTTTTTTTTGCTGGGACCTTCCCTGGTCCTTGCACGGCCGGGTCGCCCGGGAAAACAAGGTGACCCAGGCGGCCCGGCTGGTAGCCTAGTATAAGACTATTATAAGTATTATAATATATATAGAGCCCCCTGATGAGTCGGCGAAACTCCGACGAAACAGTTTGTCACAGCCCCTCGTTTGTTGTCCTCTTCTCCCTCTCTGCCTACGGTTTACGAGGCAGCTCTGTTTGACGATATATAGAGAGAAAAGCCAAGAATGGGTGACCGACAATGTGAGTGTTTGGGAAGGAAAATGAAGGACTGTGAGAGGGAGGGAGGAGAAGTTTAGAGTTGCGTACTTATGCTCACTTTCATCTTCGATGAATGCGTGAAGCGCCTCCACACACAACGAGAAAGCAAGAAAAAGCAAGAACAGCTGAAGGTTGGTCGTCGTCGCCAACCAGCCAATCGCCGAGTATCACCGCTCGCATGCATGCATATATGCATGATCCATAAGAAGATGCCAATTAGAATTAGAAAAACATGCCAAATAGGCAATTAGAAACATCCGTGCCAAATCCAGCAAACAAAAAAAAACATACGAGTACATCACAAGTCAGCTTTACATACACATAACTTGCTCTCAAAGATCATACCAGGCGTGGACCAATTTTGTTTGTCTTTTTGGCAGTTCCACATACACATAACTTGTTCCCCCAAGAACCTTTTAAACCGCCAGCAGTACATCTGAGTCTCTGTTTCCCGACCCGGATTGCTACCATGCGACCACGAAAAACAAACAGGCGTGGGCGCAACTTTTTGTGTCTTTTTGGCAGGTGCTGCCACCCATTTTGGTCCGGCAGGCAGGTGGACCACATAGCTGGGAGACGTACTAGTGGTTCGACCATTAAAAAAAAGGACCGGAAAGAAACAAGAAATATTTTACAAGTATGCAATCACTGATCAGAGATCGTTCCCTCACATGAGAGAACCTTTTACACATATTTCAAGTTTTCAACCCTTTTACACACTGAACTTGTCCTCAAAGGTTGCTCACATTCGTCAAGATCCTTCATAACACTATAGATCTTGTGAAAGAATGAGACTGGACGGAACAAACGGAATGGAACAGAACGGAACCGAACGGAACGGAACGGTACAGAACGGAACGGAACGGAACGGAAGTGGTACGGTACAGAATGGAATGGAACGGAATGGAACGGAATGGAACGGAATGGAACGGAATGGAACGGAATGGAACGGAATGGAACGGAATGGAATGGATGGAACTGAACGGGATACAAAAGAATGGAGCAGGATGGAACAGACAGAATCAAAACGGAAGATGATGGAACACAGAGGACTGAGTGGAATGGAACGGATGGAACAAAAAGAATGAATCCGAGTGCGAAAGAAGGGAACAGGATTGAATGGAATGGCATGCGAAAGGATGAAACCGAACGGAACCAAATCGAATGGAACCAAACGGAGCGGAACGGAATGGAACGGAGCGGAATGGAGTGTGAAAGTATGGAACAGGATGGAACAAACAGAACGGACCAGAGCAGAACGGAACAGAATGGAATGGAACGGAATGGAACGGAATGGAATGGAAACTTCAGAAGTGATGAGAGAGGCACATAACACCATGCCATTGATTAAATGTAGAAAGGCATGGAGAGGATGGGCATCGAATGCAGCGGGACAGAAATAAACTGGCTTATTATCCGTCGCTGCTGATGCACTCAGCAGCTTTTTTATAAGCCCGTCGGAAAGCTTATGATGCTTTCCGCATGACAACACAGTTTTGCTCAACCAACCACCTTCTCCAACTCGAGCCCGCATTTCATACCCAAGCCTCCATCCCTTCGGCCGATCCTGCATCGCACAATGCACTGTGGCACCCAAGCCTGCACCCTGCACCCAAGCCTGTATCCCGCACCCAATCCCACATTGGACACCCAGCTATGGCATTCAAGCCTGCATCCTGCACCCACGCACGTCTCCTACACTCAATCCCTTTTTTTTTTTTTTTTGATCCGCAGCTTGTGCTAGGGATGCTGATACGAGCAGGCACCCCTAGCACCCCCGAGAAGGCTCCATCTACTGGTGGGGAGCAACAGCTGCTGTCCTGCACTCAATCCTGCATCGCACACCGAGCTATGGAACCCAATCCTGCATTTCACACTCAAGCCTGCATCCCGCACCCGAGCCTATCTCCTGCACCAAATCCTGCATTGCACTTTGAACTATGGCACCCAAGCCTGCATTTAGCACCCCAGGCCTACATTTCGCACCCCAGGCCTCCATCCGAGCCTGGATTTCTGCACACATGTCCCTGCATCGCATACTGGACTCTGCGCCACAAAAGACTGCATTTTTTCTCACCCAAGCCTGCTTTTCACACCCAAGCCTGCATTTTGCACCCAAGCCTACATCCTCCACCCAAGCCTGCATTTTGCATCCAAGACTGCATCATGCACCTGATCCGGCATGGCACACAGGATTCTGGCACCCAAGCCTGCTGCATCCTGCTGGTGCAACCTGATATAAAGCCGTGCAATAGGAGGTGCAAGAGTTGGGGGGTGTTTGACAAATGCCGCTGACTCGACCTACCATGGATAGAAGTGCAGAGACAAACACGAATGACGTATATTTTCTATAATGTTACAATTGATGAAGGACTTATTGTGAGCGTATCTGGTCAGCAGCAAGCAGGTTAAGGATGCCGAACGTACTCACAGTATTTGTGAACGCGGCAAGCACCTCCAGCCTCTCATACCTAAATCGCCACACAGATACAACAGACAAAAGCCAGCCTATGGAAACATCAGTGAAAATCCAGGTTCAGAAGGGGGGGAGAAAAAAGCATTGTGTGTACATTCATACCAGCAGCAGCAGCTTGAAGACAACCTACACATATACCTTTCTCGGCCTTTTGGCTAAAAATAGTGTAGTATCTGTTCTGGTCAGTTTAATATCTGATCCGTGGTCCATAGGGTCACATGATATTCATTTTTTTTTCTTTTTCTGGGCCATTGCAATCAGACTCGTTTTCAAACACACTTTTCATGCATGTAAACAGCAACGCAGCATACTGGCGACATGCGCCCACTCAAAACTCAGAGATATGGCTTTCAGATACGAGTTCACTCTCAATTAGCTATGGCGACTTCAGCGCCCAAACATCTCACTGTTCACATACACTGGATCACCCTGGATATCCCACACGCATCACTCTAACACTCGAACACACACACACACACTCACTACTAACTACAGCTATGGCAGCTGTCGCTGCATCTACCCTATCGTTATGCTAACTCCCTCTCTCTAGCCCACT